TATATTTTTTTATTTGTTTTCATGCATTTAATAAAATTCTGGCGATTTTTCGTTAAGTTTTTGTTTTACGTAATTACGTCATAAAGTAATTATTATTTCTTCCTGTTGGCTTGACAAGGTTTTAACTGAAACTTTTCATATAAGGAGAATTAAAAAAAAAAAAATTTTTTTATATGTATTAAAATTATTAATTTTATTGTTTTTTTTTTGTTTGCTTATGTACTATTATTTTGGTTGACATATAGATGTTTATAAAAGATTTAAATGTGAATACTTTGCAGCATTTTAAAAATTCAATCTTATAAAAGAAAAACGAAATACGCATAAACATAAGAAGTGTAAGTAAAAACTTCGACAAACCAATGATTCAATTAAGTAATAATAAAGATGTAAAACAAAAATATTTTCCTGAAGTTGGTCTTGGTCTTGTGAAAAACTGTTTTCAGTATGATAACTTTCATGAATGTTATGAAAAATCACTCAGGAAGAGTGCCACCAGTTTTTAGAAAACTTCTTTGTTAATCATTTTTAATAAATGAGTTCAATACTTTACAATTCTTTTGTTACGTAACTCTAACTCTTAATAATAGATTAAAAAAATCACGATAACCGCTTGATAATGTAAAGCTTGGTTTCCAATAGTTGTAGAAATGTCTTACAACAGTTGTACAACATACCTTTGATTTGTTGTGCGGTAACTTTTTATGCAACGTTGTGTTTCCATTATAATGAATTGCCGCTAAATTTTTTATATAATAACAAAAAAAAATGGCCGCCACTAGAAATTATGCTACTCTAAACTATCGACTTTTTGTTATACTTTTAATTTTAAAACGCCGAAAAAGGATAAAAAAAAGAAAACATCAGTTTTGGGTGAGAGAACTATTTAAAAAACGTGTTCAGCAAGGTGCATTTAGTTCTTTGGTGAAAGAAATGAAGCTATTTGATAGAGAATTTTTTTATCGATATTTAAGAATGTCTCCTGACAGACTTGAACATCTTTTGTCATTAATTGGATCTTAATTAACGAAAAAGTATTGTCCCAGTAGAGATTCTATATGTTCGTCGCAAAGATTAATTATAACAATTCGATACCTTGCTACAGGAGAATCACAACAAACTCAGTCATTTTATTTTCGAGTTGGCAGAGCTACAGTTTGCCATATAATTGAAGAATCTTGTTGTGCAATATGGAAAGTTCTCAAGAAAGTCTTTCTACGAGCCCCAAATGACATAAAAGAATGGCAAAATATTATTAAAGAGTTTGATCAAAATTGGAACTTTCCACAATGTATAGGAGCTATAGATGGAAAGCATGTACGCATTGAAGCACCTGCAAAATCTGAATCTTCTTTTTATAACTACAAAGGGTTTTACAGCATGGTTTTATTAGCAATTTGTGATGCTAAATATTGTTTCACAATGGTTAACATTGGGGCTTATGGAAGGGATAATGATGCTGCCATTTTAAATGCAAGCGTTTGGGAGAGCATTTAATAAGGGTTATTTTAATTTACCAAAAATTTCTGAATTTGATCCTAAAGTTCCACCGGTCCTTGTTGGAGATGACATATTTGCACTTAAACCATGGTTAATGAAACCATACCCAGGTAAAAATCTTACAGTTCAGCAAAGAGTTTTTAATTATCGCTTATCTAGAGCACGTAGAACAATCGAAAATAGTTTTGGAATTTTAGCAGCTAGATGGAGAATATTCAGATCTCCAATTAAAGCAAAGCCATTGAAAGTGGAACATATAATAAAGGCTACTGTTTGTCTTCACAACTATTTGCGTTTAACAGATGGAGCGCATTATATTCCTACTGTTTTTGTTAATAGTGAAAGTCATTTAGGAATTGTTATTCAAGGAGATTGGAGAAAAGAGTTACAAGATCAAGGGTGTTTGCTTGATTTCTCAAAATCAACAAGTAATAGATCTGTTTTTGATGCAATTGCAATAAGAAATACTTATAAAGATTATTTTAATTCATGTGAAGGAAGCCTTTCGTGGCAAATGGACTATGTTCAATCGTGTGGCCACAATCCAGTTAATAACTAGAATGTATGTAATAAACAAAACTTTCTAATAAAGGAAAATATGTTATATTTAACAAACCAATAATTTACTTTTTTTTTTTATAGTTAAAAGATATACTTCAACAGTTACCTAATAATTAATAAAAGATTAACATTTTTATACCTCCATGATTTTCTAAAATAAGTTATAGTTTATCACATCAATAGACTTAACAAAATAGTAAGCTAAATTAAGTCTATTCCAATGATTAATCAAAAGTAACTTCACATCTAATTTTACTTAAAATGTTATGTTTCTTGCATCAATAGGTTAAAAAGAATAGTATACCAGAATGTGTCTTTTTAAACAAATTATCAACAGTTACTTCATAGTTTATTTACTTCTAAAGTACATTTTTTTCACATTGACCAGTTAAGTAGAGTAATAGGCTAGATAGTTTCACCTCTGTCTGGAAACTCTAATTTTAAGAAGTAATGTTTGTATTTGAACTTAAGCCAAGGCTTTAGAATAGTTGTTTAATCGCTTAAGTTGCGGAACTAATGATTTCATAAATAAATAATCTTCATCCTGCTCTTCAAGAGTCGGATTTTCAATATTGGAGTTAATTTTTTCTAATGTTTTCACTAAGGTTCTATCAAGTAAATCATCAGAATCCAACTTTTTTCTTTTTTTTTTTTGTTATTAGCGTGAATTGTTGACTCACTTGACTCTCCTTGCACGCAAGTATTTATAGAGCTGTTTCCTGTGGTCACATCTTCAGATATATGATCATTATTAAATGGATGATGAGTATTTTCAACTTGCTCACATACTATGTCAATGTTTTCTTCCAAATTCGATGTTTCTAATCTGGAGTCAGAAGGTAAACAAATACTGGTTGTTGTTTCGCGATGTTCTATAAAAGTATTTAGCCAATCGAGCTGAAGAAACTGAGGTGGAACTGAGTTCCTTCCAGAACCTGATGGAATATATTTTTTTGATTTCAGCCACCTTTCATAACTACTTCGAATGCTTTTATATTTCTCTTCTGCTTGATTAGGAGATAAGTTTGAAAGACGACCAACTTCTTCCCATGCATTTTTCTTTTTCCATTTATCTTTAAAATCTTTATTAAACTTGTCATACAATACTGGAAATTTTTGAACTTCATTCATAAAAGCTGCTTTAGATAGTTTTTCAAACACACATAATGGAGTTGTCGTCATATTTTGTAAAAAATGAAGATGTTTTATTAACTTTACAGTTTTTGTGCAGTTTCCAATAAAAAATTAACTGCGCGACCAAAAAAACGGTTGCAGAAATAGAATTTTTTCAATACTGACAACCGGAGTTGTACAACATGAGTTTTGTTGTACAACCGACGTAAAGTTGTGCAACTTACGGTATAAAATGTTTCCATTATAAAACAAAGGTGTTGTACAACTGTTGTACGACATTTCTACAACTATTGGAAACCAAGCTTAAGTGATGTAACTTAAGTAAAAAATACAGTATCAAAAAAGTTTATTTTAAAAGTTTTTATAAAAATTTTAAATTGGTATAGAATTCTTTGCATTTTGTGAAATTTTATAATACAAACTGCTTTACTGATTCGCAGAAATGAGACCTATAAGTTGAATCAGTTTTTTTTACCTTTTTTTCCGTGTAACTTAAGTGCAAGTGGCGTTTTCACTAATAAATTTGCTCTCTTTTGCCCGAACTCAAAACTTTTAACCTCATTGTATTTATTAGACTAACAGCTTTCATACAATTTCATTGCTGAAAGTTTAATTTAAAAGTTTAAATAAGCAAATATTTGATAAAGTTGTTGCGCGTGTAACGTAAGTTAAAAATGGAATTGCCCATATATATTTTAATATTTTTTTTTCTCATTAATAACTATAATAATGAATTATTAATAATAATAAAAAAACAACAACTAATTAATTTGGTTTTTTCAGCTCGTTTTTAAAATGTGTCATTTTTAATAAATGCAAAAAAAATCGTGGCCATGTTATCAACAAAAAAAATATATATGCGTGGTCATTCAAGCAGTGCGACGGCACGCATCTCCTGAGAAGGCCTGATAAAACTGAGTTTTAGAGCTGTACCCTCATTAGGTGATAATAGAATGAGTTGCCTAGTCATAAAAACAGAGACACAAGCAAAATCCATGCCTTGAGTCAAGAAGATCCAGCGTTCAACATCCTAAACTGGAAACAATGTAGTAAAAATATATCTGTGCCAGCCTAATAGATAAAAAAGGGTCTTAAGTCTTTGCTTAGGAGGCGCTCTACAAAACAGTAGCTGGATGCATTTAACATCTGCCCAAGATGAGTATTTTTATCAAGACACCATCTCTAGTCTTTACTCAACCAACAGCCTCAAGGCAGGGGGTGTTTCAAGTCGGAGTTGACTTCTCCTAGCCTTTGCCTAAAAAAGCGTATCCTACAAGACAGCAGGACATGAAGCAGGTTGTACTGGGTTACATGTTACCAGGATAACCTGAACTGACTGTTAATAAGAAGTAATAAGAAGTAATAAGAAATCTAGATTACAAAAACTCATCTAAAGCTAAATCATCTAAAAAAAACTCATTTAAAAACTCATCTAAATCTAGATTACAATTAACTCATCTAAAGCTGCAAACTCTATAACAAGAAAGAAAAAGAGGAAATTTTAAATAGTATTTCAAAGCTACCAAAAGATTATATAAAGTTTATTGATATCATATTAATAAACTTTATTGAATCTTGTCATGTTTCCTTTCAGCACAATGACCTGCAAGCGACATTAGAGGCTCTAAATTATGATTGTCAAAAGATTTCGAAAAAAATCAAGCAAGGTATGACTTCCTTATTGGATTGTACCCTTATGGAATAAGCGTAAAAATTAATTTAACAGACTCAATGTCATTAAACAAGCATGTTTGCCAGACACATTTTATGTTGAAGATTGCAAATAAAAATAGAAGTAAAATTACTTGGTATTCTGCCAAAAGACAGCACAACCATCAACAAATCTTCTTTCTTCTTCTGGCATTGTTTTTGCTCTAGATTTGGGGTTGAATATTCCATCATAGCCATTCTTTTTTAGTTCTGGTAAGAAAAAATTCCAATACTGCTCGGTCTCAACTTCCTAAATAAATTATTTTTTAAAGTTATTTTACTTAAATGTTTTCATTCAATTACAAGTTATGAGTAATAACTGAAATCTGGTTTTCAATTATTATACATAAAAAAAAGAACACAAAAAAATCAAAATAGAAAGATGGTTTACCTCCCCTCCCCCCTCACTTTCCATAAAGTTTAAAAAGAATTTTACACTAAAATTATTCAAGGATAAAAATAATAAGACAAAAAGACTATTTTTAATTAAATTGGTCTATTCTAAAAACTGTTCAAGCTTATAACAATATTTCCAAATTATATTATTTCTACTAAAGCACACAGAGAAAAAGTAAAAAATTGTTATGTCTACTAAAAAAAGCAATAAAGTAAAAAATTAGAAAAGCTTTTTTTACTAATATAAAACTTAGAACGACAGCAAACTAAGGTCTAGATTTTGATATGTTTTTAACAATTTTCAGTTTCAACAGTTCTCTTTTTAACAATTTTCAGTTTCAACTTTTTAACAAAAGATAAAAAAGAATGCTAAAGAAAAACAAAATATTTTTGCTTCTAACTTTGTCTTATTAGGTACATGCAAATAATCCTAATTCAATGCTTTTTTCTCAAAAAAGCATGTATAAAATAGCAAAGACTTACTTTTAACAAATTGTTAACCTGGATATGCTAATAACCTAGATATAAATGCTTCTGACCTATATATAAATTGGATATGCTTATAATGGATATTCTTATAAATGTTAAAAAAACAACCATGTATTATAATATAAAACTACATTGTAAGAAAGCTTACAACTTAGTAACTATAATTTACTAGACACTTGAAAAAATTTTTATATAAAAAGATAAAACATCAGTATTAGAAGTTTATTAATTCTATAATAATATTATTTTGTATTTGTTTTAAAAAAAAAAGTCAATCAACATGTTTTAATTTCCAATATTTTTATATTAGTCAAAAACTTCATATAATTTTAAAAATGAAATTTCCTATAAAAAAAATAAAACACAAAAAATTAATTAATAAAAAACAATATAATGAAATCTATTAGTAATTAAATCTACAAGTTTTAGATTTTGTTAGTTTGGATATCTGCTTAAAGATAATACCAATCCTCTGCTTATATACCAATCTTCTGCTTACTAGATGTCTACATACTTTTAGGTTGATACTTTTTTTAAAATACTTATTAATGAAGTGTTAACTTTTTATGATTTTAAAATAAAGTACTTTAACTTAATTTCTGTTTTTGTCAAGGTAAACATTAAGGTATTACTTAAAAATAATGTACAATTTATTTAATGTGTTTTAAATGTATGTTTAAAGTTGTAATTCCTAAAAACAACAAAATTAAAGTCAGCTTCAAAATAAGCACAAAAAAAAAAGTTAAAACTTTTTGAGACTTTTTAATATTCTTTGCCAGCAAGAAAAATACATTGTTACAAATATTCTTTAGATGCATGATAAGTGCAGAGTGTTTGCAAAGTCTAAACATAAATCATCAACATATTTGTAAACTTGTTTCAAACAAACAATGATGATATTTTAATTATCTTCAAATTTAAAGACTGTTAAAAAAAATCAGATGCAAATTCAAAGACTATGTTAAAATAAATCAGTGAAGATTTTGCCTGGTTTGCAACTCTCATATGTAGATTTAAAATAAGAGAAATAGGTAAATGATATTTTATTTGTATAGTATTTTATTAATATGAATTTCAAGAGAAAAATAAAAATATAAACAAAAGCAAAAATTGATAATAAAAAAAAGTTGTAAATTAAAACTAAATAATGAAACTGGTTTGATTGTTAGTACATATATCAGGATAAAGTAAGAGGTTCAACTGAAAAGAAACTTTATTTCTTGATGTAATATGTGTATTTAAAACTGTTGTCACAAAAAATTTTTCTGAAAAAATTTATTCAATAATGTGATTTAATATAATATGATTTAAAATTTGTTAAATTCTTTAATAAATTTAAACAAGTTTAACAGTTAAAATTGTCTAAAATTGCGTGTACACCAAACTGTGTGTACACTTAATTGTCATTTTTTTAATGTTAATGTCAAATAGTTTTAAAATTTGCTCAAGGACTACTATATGACAGGATGCGCAAATTCGATTTTCTGACTTTGCTAGCAAAGGCCATTAAATACTTTTTACTAAACGCTTATAAAATTAAATTTAACAAAAAATGTTTTGTAAAACCAATATTAATAAAACAATTTTAAAGTGAATATAAGTTAGTATTGTTAAAAACTTAATAACAAAGTAAAAATTAATAGCTATAAAACCTTTCTTAAAAAAATAAAAAGTCAATATAATAAAACTTTTGAAAGCTCATCTGCAAAAAATAAACAAATATTCTCTACAAGATTTTATAACAATGTAAATATATATATATATATATATATATATATATATATATATATATATATATATATATATTTATTTATATATAATAAGTCAGTATATAAAATTCTATAAGCAAGTTAACAACAAATACAAATTAACTAAGTCTATATATAAATATTACTCTGCAAGGTGTGCCTTTTTAATTGATGTCTGATAAAGACATGTATTTTTTGCTTGGTCTTTTTCCAAATTATGTATTCCGTTCAAAAGAACATTAGCCAAACGCTTATAAAGATTTTTTGATGATAAAGCAAAATCATAATATGTATCCATTATGGACAGAATGTTTATAAGTCTTTTTCTACAACATGCTCTGTGTTTAGTTTTTTTCACAAAGCATAACTAAATTCTAACTAGCTGATAAGTACACTCAAGAGGAACTATCCTCGTGAAACCTCTTCAATAAAGTCTTTAGCTTCATTTGTTAGTATAGGTTCATCCTCAGCATAAACTGGCTCACCCTCACATTTTTTTTCCAGCGATCATGCCACATAGGCAACAGAGCTCTCTTCAGTTTCTGAAAAACTCACATTATTAATGCAAGTTTCAATTAAAGTTGCATCTTCAAAACTGATTGGACCTTCACATGTGTGATCTTTTTTATTGGGTTGTTCTACTTCAACTAATTCTACAAATGCTGCAGCAAATTGAGCTAAACGCTTTTTAAAAGCAGAAAATACATTCCCAGCTGCCATAAAAGCATTTGCCCCTGTTGATTGTCTGTTAACAGAAAATTCTCCTTCAATTCTGTCACTTTGTAACTCACAAACCAAGATGTAATCCTGCTGAATAAATAAGGATGTTTCATGAGCTCCTTTTAGTTTCAAAGCAGCTACTACTTTCTCATTAAATATTTTTAAAACATGTTGCACATTCAGTAGTTGAAGTCTAGAAGGATAAACAGCAGCATGGGATATAGGAGCTGATTTCAAAACATCTTTTTCATAATAATATAGGTTTTTGACATCAAAAAAAGAACCAATGGTTTTATTGTCAAGAGATAACTTTTGACATTTTTCAGAAATTCAGTTTTTATGCAAACATTTAAGAAGACGAACTGAATCAAACAAAAGATATCAAACACACTGATCATCTAATGGATAAATGGCCTAAAAGTCAGAAATTCTTTAGAAAATTTTGCAGCATTGTTGATTGATTTTAGGATTATCTGTTACAGATCCTAAAATAATGGCACCATTTTTTTCAGCTAAAACAGCAGCTTCTTTCACAACACTGAATTGATACATTTATGTTAGTTGGTGAACAGGTGTAACAGAAACCATTAAACTAGGTCCACCATGTAAGCATTTCATCATTACAGATAGCATAGAAGTTGCTTTAAACTCTGGATCATTTTTTGCCATCCCATATAAATCTCCGCCTGAATAAGCAACTGTTGGTCTAATTTTTACCTCATCAACTATCAAAAAAGCATTTTTCTGATGATCATTCTTTACTTTTTTAAAATGTTTTTTGTAATACAAGATCAATGTTTGTGGCAGAAATTATAGAATGCAGTTTTCATTTACTTGGAAACACTAAAAAACTATGAAGTTGATCATAGCTGGTGTTATAAAATAACTCAATAGCAAAGCAATAATCAGCTATAGAAAAACTTTTGTAACACAATAGTTTAAATTGTCTTGTAATAAAATTCAGTTTCTTTTGCTTGATATCATCATTGATTTTAAATTCATTTTCTGAAAGAATAATTGCCACTTTTTCAATAATATCATTAACATGCAGATTATAATTATAAACTAAATTAACTGCTTCAAATAATTGTGAGTAGAAGACTAAGCCATTTATTGGGATTCAATATATTGTTTAATGGAATGCTGATACCATGTTTAAAAGCAGAAAAAGTTAGTGGTAAACATAATGTACACTTATTGTAAATGAAAATATTTGTTATGAAGTTCTCTTTAAAATCCTTCGACATAAAAATACATATGAATTTATCTTTTTGTTGAAATATTACAATATTTTCATACTTTTTGTGTAATTCTTTGTTGGGATAGAATTCAGAAAATAAATTTATTTTGTCTTTTTTTAAGAAAATAAATAAGTTGCTAATCATCAGGCTTAGATTGGCGAAGCACTGATTTTGGTGTGAGTAGACAAAAAAAAGGAACATTAAAAATACTTGATACACATAGTGGTCAAGTATAGCCACTGGAAAGCTTAATCATTTCTGTATTTTCAGGCCCATATTTTTCACATATAAAAAATTTAGATGACTCTATAATAAAATCTTTACGTGGAGGAAGCACATTAATCCATTTCTGTTTATCAACTTCATCTTCAGGTAATTTAAAAACACAACACTTATTAAGCTCATTATAATTTCCTTTACAATTCAAAATTCCACATTTGTTTGGCATTATGAAAGAGATTTTCGAAAAATATTACTGTAACCTTAAAAACGTTTCCACTTTGATAGAAATAATGGCCTTCGCTAGCGAATTCAGAAAAACAAATTTGCGCATCCTGTCATATAGTAGTCTTTGAGTTTGCTATAATCAGGGGCTATTCTATACCAATTTTGACAGTGTCGACCGTATTTGGGCGCCACCCAAATCAAAAATTGAG